TGATTAACTTTGTTACGTCTCTGAATTCTTTTTAACTCACTTAACAGCCTAGAGGTAGTGTAAATCTATCTCACGTTAAATATGCCATATAAATTTTTTAGTAAATAATTATTTAATCGATTTTTAGCCTAGACAAACTTTCTCAAGGTTTCTCAAGCTCACAAAGTAAATAATTTAAAAAATAATTTAAATAATGTAAAAACTTAATATTTGATCATTCCTTGAAAATATGTATGTATAACGTCATACAATGTGAAACAACTTGTGCGTGGCTTAAAATAAATACTTTTAACTTACGATGCTTTTGATAATCTTAACGAAATATTATAATCAAATTTTTTAATCATCAAAACTGCTGAATCGATTTTATTGTTATGTCATCTGGTACCGAATTTTGTTTTTCATTATTTCGGAATTATAATAACCGCAATTGATAAAAAAAACAACAGTTCTAATGTATTTTAGCTGAATTGGGCCGAAATCTTATTTTATGTAGCAAAGCTTTTCATAAATCAATCGGATGGCATTGGTTTTGCAATGTCCATGAGAAATATTGACGAACAGGTGAGACCGTAAGGCTGTAGCGGTCGATTGAAATTTATTATTAATGCCATAGTCACTTTTAATCGTTTTATTCCAACACCTTTATCTTACGCGATATTACGATTTCGATTCCTATAAAGCATTTTAGGTTTAGCTTGTGTGTCACCAATCTATGATTTGTTTCGAAGTAGTTTTTATTAATTTGTGATTTCTATTACAATGTGTATGTAATTTGGAATGTATTGCCTTAAAATTGTATATTCATACAACAACAAAGATAAAAAACTTCGATGATAAGAATAACTAAAATTTACAAACTCTGAAATATTTTTTTCTCTTGGATTTTTTGCATTTAACAATTTAATTACTTCAACGAAAAATTGTATGTACTCGTAATGTAATTTTGTACATGTGTGTGTTTTATTCCATTTCGATTGAAATATATACAGTAGATTGGGGGGAATCGGGACGCTTTCCAATTTGAACACAAATTTTCAGTGGTTTTCCTTAGAGTAATACCAATAAAATTTAGATTAAAAGGTTTCCGGAGGCTTAAATGTTCATATACGATGAATTATTTATTATACATTCATTGAAATATATACACAAAAAATAAAAAAACTAGTTTGACATGATCCACCTATGACTTTTGGGGTGAATCGTGTCACGTATGGGGACAGTAGAGTTTTTCCGATAGGGGTGGCACTGTTTAGTTGTTGGGTAGGTACTTACCTTTAGGTAATTAACTTTTCAATATCTTTAATCAGTTACAAAACTCTGATGACAAAGTTAAACTATTTAATATTCTTAAACACTAAATAAAAGTTCTCTTCAATTCAACAAAACTTATGAAGACGCTTGTAGCTGAAAGTAAGTACATATTGTACTTTTTGACGAAGAATGTTGCTGATAACTCTATTTCTGTAATCTGACGAAGCGTGTTGCGGATAATAACATGTACTTTTAGGTTAGGGATATTGTTCTTTTTTTTATAATAAATTACTTAATGATCAATTCAACAAAGTTAAATCTAACAACTCAACAAAAGTATTGTGACATCTCAGATTTGTCCTTAGTCCCTATTCCCCCCAATTTACGGTTAACGTTATTGTCGTTTGACATTAATCACTATACTTCTAATGATTGGTAAATTGTTTTCTTTTATAAATCTTTTATAATATACAAAAAACGCTTTCCTTTTTCCATGTTGTTAGGGAAATAATATTCAACATTGATGATTAAAGTGTGTGTTTGCCGATCTATGCGTGTTAATTCGATGACATAGTCTCCTTTTGTTTATAAGCATGTTTGAATAAAACAGACACGAGATGTTAACCTAAGTTTTACCAACATACACCACTGAAAAGCATTCAAATATCATATGTCATTATCAAGGCTTAATGGCAAATGCGTAGAATATGCTTACCCAAATGCTAGCTTATTCTGCGTAAATAGAGAATGTATGCTAGTGATTCCTGTTACAATAATAAAAAACGGATATTTCTCTGTTATGTTTTTTTACAACGTTCAATGTATGATGCGATTTTAAATCGTCTGACTCGCGAGTTCCGTGCACTAATGCGTCCGTCATATCCGCTTTTCGTCTGTCGCTTTAGTTAAAATGTCAGCTCACACAATTTTATTATTAGGCTGCACTAAAGGTATCGGGAATGGAATATTTCCACTGTTCCTGTCATATTAAAATCTTTTTAATTGAAAACTCCTTGGTTTTAAAAATCGAATACCATTTATTTATTTAAAAAAAGATTCTCGGCCTTGTCACGAGGTTTTGTCAAACTTGTTTAGTCGTTGAGAAAATGGAATTGACTCGAGAAAATTCAAGAGCGATGATTTATTATGACTTTCGAAGTGGTTTAACACAAAAACAGTGTGTTGACCGGATGATTTCTGCATTTGGTGATGAAGCCCCATCGAAAACCACAATTTATCGCTGGTTTGCTGAGTTTCAACGTGGGCGTGTCAAGCTCAGTGATGATCCCCGTCAAGGTCGTCCAAAAACTGCAGTCACCCAAGAAAACGTTGATGCTGTGCGTAAGCTGATTGAGGAAGATCGACATGTGACATACCGCGAAATTCAGGCAACTTTAGACATTGGCATGAGTACAAATACAAATAATCTTGCAGGAACAATTAGGTGTAAAAAAGTTGTTTTCCCGATAGATACCGCATTCGCTCTGTGAAGACAAAAAGCGGCTCGCGTTACTTGGTGCGTCAGAACTCTCGAAAGATTCCACGCAGGATCCTCAAATGCTGTGTACAACATTGTATTAGGTGACGAATCCTGGATATACGCGTACGAACCCGAAACAAAAAACCAGTCACGAGTTTGGGTGTTCGAAAATGAGTTAAAGCCAACAAAAATTGTCCGTTCACGAAGTGTTGCAAAAAAATGGTGGCGGAGTTTGTCTCCAAAACCGGCCATGCTACGACTATTTCTCTTGAGGGACAAAGAACGATTAATGCAGAATGGTATGCTAGCATTTGTTTGCCACAGGTCGTTTCTGAACTCCGTAAAGAGAACTGCAACCGCCGCATCATCCTCCATCACGATAATGCGAGTTCTCACACCGCGCACAGAACAAAAGAGTTTTTAGAGCAAGAAAACATAGAATTATTAGTCCATCCGCCGTACAGCCCCGACCTAAGCCCTAATGATTTCTATACTTTCCCTAAAATAAAGAATAAATTGCGTGGACAGAGATTTTCATCACCTGAAGAAGCTGTGGACGCCTACAAAACGGCCATTTTGGAGACCCCAACTTCTGATTGGAATGGTTGCTTCAATGATTGGTTCCATCGTATGGAAAAATGTGTCAAATTTCGCGGAGAATACTTCGAAAAGCAATAAATACATTTTTAAATAGTAATGTTGTGTCACTTCGTTAATTCCCGAAATTTTCAGTGCCGCCCTCGTAGAACTAGCGGTCCCATGGTAGTCAAAATTCGACTATAATTAATTGAAATTATAAGTTTGTACATTATTATGATTATATTGTCAAAAAGACTATTTATTACACTTCTATAACCACAGATTTCGCTAAGACTACACTTGAGACAAAGATTAATAAAGACAAACAATATAATTTAATCTCAATTTGACCGCAGACTATAAGCAATAAGAAAATTTTGACAATAAACAAATAGTATTTATGCATCCGTGTTTGTTACAAATACATGGTAGTGTGTGTGATGTTTTTATTTATTGATATAATGTATTTTTTATGCATAGTTAAAAAAAAATCACATTCAGCACTCCTTCTCTATATTCTCTATAAGTGTGGGAAATTTCATACTCCTCCGTCCGCGCAATTTTCGTAAAAAGGGGTACAAAGTTTTTGCTTCACGTATTAATATATAGATAGAAAATCTAGTGAATTTATATGTAAAATTACCAACTTATTGTAAATTCAAAAAAAATACCTGTTGTATTTATAATATAATTTCAAGCGATTTGTGACTGTTTAAGTCTTGACTGACATTACTAAGCAGTAATGTGCTTAAATGGATTATGCCATTATTTTAGAAATATATATTTTAAGAAGCTTGTATGAAAGGGCTACAAAAAGAAGATATAAACTTGCCTTACTGACCACGTAAGTCGTGATAAAACCAGTAACGCACGAAACATTAGGGAAGAATACAGTTTCCTGATATAACTAATCTTCATCTAAGCGTTTGCATATTCATTCTCGCTCACGACTCGGTCGTGCGCGGACGTGCTTTCCGATCCGTGGCCCGCTTGCGAGCTACGTCTCTGAACTCACAGTTGTGCTCGACAGTTTAGTGACCGTGAATACATTCTCGTTTACGACTCGGTTGTGTGTGAACGTGCCTTCCAATCCGTTGGTCGCTTGCGACCTACGCATCGGAATACACATTTGTGCGTGATAGTGTTGTGACCGTGAATACCCACCTCATACCAACTGTCTTTTTCAAGGCAACCAATCGCTACGATCAGGCTTCCTGTGGCACTCACAGGCTAGCGATTTCCTAACCCTTCCCAAAACAACAGTCTTTTTCAAGACTAGACCCCCGCTCGCGATTCTGCCTGCTGTAGCACTATACAGCCCGAGCGGGTTCCTTTCCTTTTCCCCGCCGATTGCCGTTTTCACGGCATAGGCATTCCCCCCCCCTGCTCCTTGCTGTCCTGCAGCACAGGGGGGTTACAAATCCTATCCGGGGCCTCGCCTTTCGGCGAGTTCAACAAAAGTCCCGGGGCCGCCCCCCCCGGGCAAGAAGACCGAAGATTTAGGCAAGTAGTAAATTAAAACAAAATTTTATTAAAATTCTAAGTTAATTCTATTCATATATTCATATTATTACTGCTTTTGTGTCCACTGCCGAATTCGGTTACCACAACAAAAAAACTTTAACACTGCAACTGGACCGACTGGGACCTGATGATAAAAACAACCAGTTAATAAGTTAGCAACATCATGTCTGGGGGGTCACCTCCCCCCAATATCAGCACACCCGGTCCGTCCCGAAAGGGACATCAGGCAATAGCGGGCTCACCCGCTTTTTGCTCCCTACCTGCTCGCCCGGAACTAGGCACCGGAACGGACGACCGGCCCGGTCCTTCGGGCGCGGCCGAGCGTCACCAGGATCCGTCCGGCCCGGGGGAAAGTTTCTTTCCCTTACCGGCAGATTGCTCGGGGTCCCTTCGGCCGCGCAAGAAGGCGAGGTCCGAGTCCGACCGGAGCTCTTCCGAGGCAAAAGATAAGCGCCCCCGGATAGGACCGTCATCTAGATCCTTAAGCGAGATGGAGGGGGACGAGGCTGAGGACATCGAGGACACAACCTCGTCCGAGGACTCGTCCTCTTACGACAGCGAATCCTCAGTCTCGTCCCACTCCACCTCTAAGAGTGTGGAAAGAACCTCCCCAAAAAAGAAACCAATTCCTAAACCTAGGAGGAGTCTAGGGATGGTGGAGGTCCACCCAGTAAAACAGCTGCGTACTCCTCCTCGGTCCCCTTCTCCAGCCATTTCTCCCATTCCGTCGGTTGACGTAGGGGTGCCCCCACCTTAAGCAGCACGGTGGGCAATCTAGAATCAACTAGATATATGGACCTTGAGTCT